TTTAAAAATTGACCTGTGGAATGATACACTAGCAATTTATATTTTATTCATTTGTTTTCTATGGAAACATCAAAGTAGCAAAGTGTTAGTCTGACCAGTGTTCACTAAAGGATTTCACCGCGTCACCAATATTTGGTGCATAAGGCTGTAAATGTCATGGCAGTAACCGGATATGCTTGGCTAGCTTATACAAAACCCATATAACTTATCCACCCTTTTTAGTCATATAAGTTACAATTCATTACTACGTAGTTGGTATTATTGTCTTTTACGCGATTTCAAAAGGGGTAATTAAAGCATGTGCTTAGGATCGTCTTAGACAAGTGTGCATTGTTTACTTTATTTAACTCATTTGTCGATTTTTACAACTAACTCGAGACTCAATCTTAATATATTTATTTTAAGTACCAGTTTAACGATTTATTTGAAAATATTTTACTGGTCTCAAGCATTTTCATTAAGTTAAATCTACTTTAGTTTTAATAGATTATCATTATTTTAAGTTTATAAATATAATTAGAATTTTTTCGTATACACCAGGTAATTATGCACAAAAATGTTTGTACACTATTCGATGTACCAAGGTCTTTCAGATCTATTTTCGTTTGCATGCGATACGTCACAGATCTTTGTGACAATGATGATCTCTTTGTATTGTGGTAGTTTCTCTGCAGTGTAGTTGATTCGAGACAATAGATTAGCTAGCAAAAAAATGAAGCTCTCAGTCAGCTCATTATTTGAAGATTTTCTCTAGTTTGAGATTTTCGCTTACGCGCAAAACGTGCTAATAGCATCCTTAGAAATCATCTTAAACTTACTGGAACACACTCGCACGCAATTATTATTCCAAAAGAAGACTTGTAATACTGTAAAAATGGTCACACAATACTGTAGATTACCTAAAGTAAGACATCAGCACCGTTGAATACCAGTTCAGTGGTCGTTCGCGCGAGACCAAATGTTCTGAGTTCAAGCCCCGCGTGTAGGGTTGTGGATGGGCACTGCCTAGAAATCTTGTACTGTGCTTCCAGGTTTTCAGTGGTGGTCAAACATTGATCAGCTCATGATTTCAATTAAAACTCAGCGATTTCCACAAGCCTATGCTGATAATAGTGAAAATGATTTAACTACAGTTATTTTTCGGTAGTTTGAACTTGATTTGGAACTCAATCATCGTCGTATAATTGTAAATAACTTTTAGCCTTCGAGAAGAGTATTAATCAACAGATCCCTGTAAAATTTAATAATGATTAGGATATCAACCTAAGTTCTGTGTAAGATTGACACTGGATTTCAAAAATTATATCACCATTCTCTTAATAATGATAACTCAGTAATAACAACAAAACTATTTTTTCTCTGTAGCTTTACATTCCTGAATCAGGGTTGAAATTGCTGAACCAGTGAGATTCTTGTTTGAAATCAGCTTAATTATTTTCAGCACAAATCACTGCTTCAAAAATCTGGATTATTGACAATGAGTAAAATGATTAAATTAATCGATAAATTCACTCACACTATCTGCAATAATTAAAATATTTACGTTAACTCAGTGACTTTTAAGGTCAAATAAAACAGTGTAACAAGATTATTTTTCTCATTGTTATGCTAAGAAACAGACAACCACAAGGAGATATACATATCATACATCAAATTGGAGCTGTCTTCTTCATATCAGCATGTTTATTTAAATATGACTAAAATTAATAAGACTCTATACTTCTAAACATTTTAAATATTATAAGCAGTTGTTTAGTCGTTGTTTCTTTACCAAATTAGTACGAAATAAAATAAACCTGATTAGGATCCGCGAGACGATAGCAACCGATGGTTGGAGACCCTGAATGACATGGCTCAAAATCGTTTGCAATGGCGCAGGTGCATCCACTCTTTATGTTCTCCCAAATTCCAATCTTCTGAATTCTTCATGTCTCTTTCTTTCTCCTCTTTCCAAATTTATTTCACTGGATTATACTTCTTGAATAGCATCTTCATACCCTAATCTTTCCGATCAGTGCTTATACTTTTACCACCCCTACCACTGTGTTAATGTGGTATGGCAACTCGAACTGATGTACGTACGTACGAAGTTCTACGTTGCTACTGACTGACTATTAGCTTCGACTGGATTTAATATACACATCATTCTGAGAAAATATTGTTTCACTGTATACAGCAGCATTACCATATGAAGAGTTATCGATTTTCCGAGTCACTTCCCCGCAATAACGCTTCGTATCAAACCTTTTTGTTGACTAGCAGAAGCAGCTTTTGAGAAATAGCACACGATTCTCACATAAAAACCAAGCCATCTGATTAGATAGAGCTCCGATTCTAGTTTCAGACCAAGAAAAGTTAATGGACGATCTCAAAATTTTGTTACAAAAAAACAAACTGAATGTTTCATGGTTGGTTTTCTAACATGTGAAAACTAGATATTGTTTCGTCGAAAACATTACCGATAATCTGAACTGCCTGCTTTTGTATGCATGGCTAAACTGGGAAGTAGATAGTTGATATAAGTAACTCTTTATTGTGCATGATCAGTGGTGATAAATTGTTTGCGGTAAAGAAACCTACGAATGACGTGAATCGGCCAATTGAGGTTATTGAGATTATTCACAAGGTGTTACTTCAGAAACAACTAAGTATTAGTACATCAAATGAATGCTACGCTTAACGATCCAAAACACTTAATTTTGGGCCTCATGAGCCAGGTATCAGAAAGAATGTTGGAGTACACGTCTTGATATGAACAGAAGTCACTATTCCCTGAATTTTACCAGAGGTTTGAAGTTATCGAGAAAATGCACATAAATTACGGACTAAATCAAGTTATACATCACAGTAACATATTATTCATTCCCTTCTATTCAATAATAATGCTTGCAATTTAAGCACACCACGTAAGCTCTTCGTCACATACTTCATAACCTTGAACAACCGTTCGTGAATAAAGCTTTAAAAATGTATTCATTACTTAGTTTAAGAAAACTAAAAAAACTATAAGGTCACGCGGAGATAAGACAGTCTAGAATGCTGAGGTAGTAGGTAGGGAAATTATGCTAAGATCGATTCCAAGAAACACTATCTTTCTCCGGTCTCGTACCATACTTTACACCTGAAGCTAATTTATTTAAAGTATATAAACCCTGGTACGATAGGGTATCAGGAAGCGCGTCACATAAAAAATAGAAATGAATGACAGTACAGCCGCTAAGGAAGTAAGAATTAGTATTTGGTGAAATCGTTAAACTGGAAACATTCGTGAAAGACTTCTCCCAGCTAAGGAGGATCATTATTATGAAATGTAACATCAAAAAGAGTAGGTTTAACACAGGCTTCTCTTCTGAGCTATATCTCACAGTCTCAAGCAACTGAGGTGCGCGATCTCAAGGATCTTAACGGAGTTGTAATTGACCAACAGATCCTAGTCCAAAACAGCAACCTCACATCATGCTGCGCTATTCCATAGACCGACCACCTTTTCACTTTTTGACAAAACCACGTTGACAACTTACGATGTAGAAGTAATGACGATAACCGTTAAGAAAGATCACACCACCGAATACGGCGTCTCAAGAAAGAGAAATCGGATTACCATCACCGTACCCGAATAAACACTGATGCCCCTCAAATGCCCTGGCACGGCCGAGGGTCCGCTCTACCTCAGCCACGCGTAAATAGCCTCTGCCAGGGAAGTCCTACTCACTGCCTTCTCGTGGCGGTGTTGTTTGCGAGATTGAGAGGACAAAAAGCGAATGTCCGAAGTTTTAACCGTTTTAGTGGACATGGAGATTCCACCTAAAGTAGTTGGAAAACCCTGATTCCAGACCACTAGTGCACATGGGCCTCAGTATAAACCAATTGTTGGTCACCTACTATGGGACTGCATCTCCTCACGATGCTCCACTGCCTTATGGATCAGACCTTCAGGTCGAATGCTCCGGGCGTGGCCTCTTAAGAAAACCACCCGGGCATTATCACAGCCCTTACACAAATCAAATGAGATTTGTGTAGTGCATACGTATCTGGTGCCCCCTTGTACCAATGTGTTCAAATAAATAAATAAAAAAACAAATAACTGATGCGTCTCGTCACTGCCGCCCGATGTATCAGAGACAACGATAACCAGTCACTGGGAACTTTCAGCTCGGAAGGCTCATATTTTGTAACCATAGAGCAGAGATGGTTCCACTGATGAGTTGTACACTTGATCCCCTAGACTCGCATCAGAAAGGCGCTACAGGTAAACACAAGCCGCTCCGGGTCTTCACATAAATTGATTTTGTCTGCTACGATACCAACAGCACTCTTTGATTCGCAATAGCTCGCGTGTATTTATCTTGTTTTGGGATCGTTTATATGGTGCTAGCTAAGTTTACTTATGAAATCAAACTACTAATGTTAGTAAGCAACCAACGAAGGTTGAACACCCGAGATCTTAACAACCAACGAGTTTCAAGGACGACTCACAAAATCACATTGGATTGTTCATAGGACATAACAAGACACCCAAAGACCCGAGCACTAACAAAGCAAGGCTTATGGACGAACCGAATTTCTCCTGTCCGTCGTGTTTCGTCAAGTAGTTTGAGCGAATGATTAGTCCTAAATACTTCAGCGCGCAACTGTAAGTGCCAAGAATGACATTTGACACTGAATTTCAGATACTGTAATTTCCGTGAACGCAAACTTGACGAAGAAATAGTGATAAACAGCTTGTCATAACAACTCCATTTGTGGGTAATATAATGAAAATTCGATCACGGACGAAGTAGCACTACTGTTTCCACTACTTAAATGCTATGCTATTAAGACACCATTGTAAGAAATAAGGCAAAACCTGGATATGAAACAACTATACGTTGTCCTATTAGTGAAAAATTGGATGACTTATGGTGCAACTTTGAGTTATCGGGAAACAAATAGAAATCTCATACCAATAAAATTAACGTATCCGATGGCCTACCAAAAGAGTAAATGAGAACAGAAAATTTGCATTAATTTCTGTATTCGACAAATCAATGCTAAGTGGAAACAAACATGAATTAAGGTCTTATTAACGCATAAACAGAAAACTTATCTGAAATATATGTACAATATTCTAACAAATAGGTTGGACTGAGAAGTTAGTAATCTTCAGCACCCTCGGGAGGACGTCGGGCGGCACTGAATGGTGAAGTATTGCGCTTCGTGGACTTTGAAGAGGATGAGTGGTCGTGACGGTGACGATCGTAAAGTTTTCGCGAACGTGAACTGGATCTAGATCTACCAAATCTTCGCCTTTCATCCCGAAAATCATGTCTGGATCTAAACCGACTGCCACCACTTTCGTGGCGACCATGTCGGGAAGCATTGGAGTGTAGATGAGAACTGAGAAAATAAACAAGAACAGAATAGCAACTGAAAAATGGACAAAAACACTTAGAGACAATAGTGAAAAATACCTAAAAATTCACCTTGCGTATATCTTAATCGAACTTTACAATCTATGTTAAATAAACTACTTTGGGCTTTAAAAGTAAATATACCTTGTGGAATCGATTGCCTCCGCAATAGACGATGACTCCAAAATTACCTAATAAGCGGAATTAAAATCTGCAATAAGTACCTTTTTAAATTATTCCAATCGAATCACATTAATTCATCGGGGAACTGTGATACTACTAACCACAGCTTACGTTTAGAAAAAAGAACGTACTTTCGCTCTACACTCCTACCACGGCTGCGACGACGATCACGATCCCGAGAAATAGGAGAGCGATCAGCTGGAGATCGTTTATCCCGTCGTCCATAACGAGAAGAGGAATTCGAATGCTTCTCACTGTATTGTCTTAAATAGTCACGAATTTTCGCGTAGCCAAGGTGCATTTTACCAGACAAATGCTCTTCAACTCGTTGAGGTGCATCGTCTTTGATTCTGAAGGCTCCACAAATCTCACAGACTTCCAACTCTTTAGTCTGAAAACAAGCGAAACAGAAAACATTAAAGAAATAATAGTGGCATACCTGAGTCATTCCGGGACGCGCATCACCCTCGAGCTGTGATCGCTCAAATTTTAGCTGTTCACACAATTTAAGAACTCCCTGTGCTTGATCAACCTTTCCTTCAGTTCCCAATTCCTCAGCTTGTTTCACCAAGTCATTAATTCTTTTGGTGAGCGCAGCAATTTTTTCTTTCTTTTCACTGGCTCCGATCGGGTCTGGATTGTTAACACATTTATTGACTGCCAGTCGCTCATGTCCTCGCCGAATTCTTTTTTCAACATCCTCCAAAAGCTGAGTAAGATAGTGAACAAAATCTTGCTCGTACCCCATCTTTCCAAAACGAGAACTCTTTTTATACGATTCTCTCATGCGCTCATCATGAGATTTAGGACACTGACCCAAATCCGTCTTTGTATTGACAAATAAATCATGAGGACAAAACCCACACAAATAAAACTTGCATACATCATCGTCAGACCAATGTGGACCACCAGAGCTCTCACCATTACAAGCATTTCTGTTTTTACCCATTAGCTCATCCAATAGAGCTTTCTGAGCGGCCAGAGCCATTTTCAATGACGAGAATAACTAGAAAAGAAACAAGAAATATGTCTAGGATAACCATCAGGATAAACATCTAAAGCGATAGACAAAAAATGAATTCATAGCAGAGGACTCAGTAATGAGACACGCCTCTGTACGCCGTTAAGTGGGAGCCAATGAATCGTTAAAAGAACCCAGACACTGAAAACTGAACGTGTGGTCTGAACATAAGGAAATTAACATAGGAGTGGTTCCCCATACGGAAAATCTTAGTAAAAAGATGAACGATCTAATGCTGTGTCAGCGACGCTACTCCGCATCAGTTTCTTCCAATGTAGCAATAATGCAGATGAATTTACAATGTGACATTGTGTTCTAGAGAACCCAGTTACTTCTTACATTAACTTAAGTGAACTACTAGTGACTGTGTTAATAGTCTGAAAAGGGAATGACCAACATAGACACTTTTATCACGTATGTAGCAATCTATGCACGACAGTCACGCCTTTCAATACTGGAGCTGTTAGTTATGAAGAAACATTTTAAAAATATACTGACTTGATTGATAGAAAAATCGTAATGACTCGCTGAGTTGGTTTTACATATGTAAAGAACTATAAATTGGAAGTCAATTTTTTAAGTGTGCTTGTCATAATCCGTTTATAAAACAGGTGAACTGGTAACATCAGTTTTACAAAAGCTGTACGAATGTCTCAGGTGACGTATCAAGAGTACGTTTGTGTAAGAAGTGCACTCACGAAAATTTGAAATACACTAAGACGAATTTACAGAAATATCATTAAACGGACTTTTAACCAGACTAAAATTTCGAACTCAAGCTATAAACTACAAAAACAATAAGCGAACAAAGTTTAGTAGGTAAAGTCCTCTTCGAAAACTGTGGGGACCAGCAGCTGCAGAGTATTTTCACGGTGAGATGACCACGTAAAAACAGCGGAATTATGCTTAAAGTGAGAGTAATGCATGTAAACTGAATCTAATAGCATAAAATAACTTCTCGATACTCGACAAACAGGGAGTTGTGTTTGGTACACCAGGACCTCTCCTTACATATCTATCCGTAGATATCTGCTAGTTTCTGGACCATAATGGACTGGTTGCTCATGTCGAATCCCCCAGTTCTTCAGCCTCACACAACGTTGGGCCTGACGTACGCAAGCCGACCAATAATAGCTTAAATAGAGGACATACTCCAGAACTACCTAACACTGCCCAATGGAGACCTCACCACATAATCAGAAGTGAGGTGAAACGAAGACATGGCTGTCTTAAGTACTTTATGAAGTCGATGCATCGAATTACTGAACTAAGAGGAATTTCGAGCTAAAATAATGACGAGTGGGTTCTACTCTTAATACAAATTCGGAAAAAAATCGTTTGTGAATAGTTAGAACATTAAATGAAGACATATAAAATAGCCATCTACATCCAGAAAACATTCCGACTTAACAGGATTATTTGGATGTAAAATCACAATCAACAGGAAATCATAAGGACATTCATGCCAATTACGATAGCAAAACAGGCTTCACAAAAAGAGGGAAATTCGACGCATCCTACCAAGAACACTAACCCTTGTGTGTGCGAACAAGTCACAGACAATATGTCGTCCTACCTCACCAACAAGATAATTAAAACACAAAGTTCGACTTCCTGCAAAAAACTATTAAAAGTGATATTAACAACATTTTATAAACTCAAGTTATCTAATTGTTGTAGAATATATTATTTTTGTTATGACCTTGAACAGTAAATAAAGGCGTAACTTGAAAGGCTTCGTAACAGTTAATTGCATGAATAACTTCTAGGTAGCGCATGACTTTTAATTGTGCTTTAATGAAAGATGAAATTATATACCGTCATTCTCTAGTAAGTTACAGCCTTCTGGTAACAATTTAAGTACGTCGGATCGTTCCCTGTTGACGAGCAGGACAATGTATGCAGAGCTCAAAAAGTCCAAAAGGAACTTGAATCATTAAGAGTATGTTATTTATAAAAACCAGTAGATTGAAACACTAGTGCTTTACACGTAGCAAGTCTGTGATCGTGTGTGTTTCCATTAGTGGCATAAAAATATGTTCAGACGATCTGAAAGTATGTTTGGTTGAAATTTAACACTACCTTCCAACAGATTGTTTATATGGCCCATGCTCTTCGCAGAATATCGTACGCTACTTGTGATGCCGTCCACAAACAAGTCGCATTTTTGGCGAGAGAACCATCAGGGTTTGGTAATCTACAATATTGCCATGTGTTTGTGACGGAATCGCCGTGTGATGTAAGTTCTCAATGCATGTCATCTTACTTCTTAAATAAAGCATCTTCAATTGTGATGCATTCGCATGATTCTTAATGGCAAACTCTGTGAGCAATAGGGCGCTTATTAACATCAGAAAACCACATCTAAAACTTGCATATTTCTCACTCAATGTCGTCACCATAGTCAGTTATTTTCTTCCGCAGAATAATGTGTGCGTGAGGATATTGTGTCATGTGTATCCTGTGTGTACGTACACTTTTGACTTAAGTTTTGAAGTACAACACCAGTCTGTTACACTTACTAAATGCGTTAATTGATCCGGGCAGTATTGTGATTTGTAGCTGGATACGTATCGTGATGATTGGTGACATAATATACCAGTGTAAATAGGCCAATAGCAATCAAACAATTTTTAAATTTTTAAAATTTTTATGCCTTCGTTTATTTAACTTCACAGTCACCATGTATATCAAGTTTATTATCAGTATTATTATCATCCTGTAAAAATAAGTATATATTTGCGATTGTACAGCTTTGAAAATGAATTCGCCGAAAAGAGAACTCTTCGCTGAACTAATCTTTCTTATTTGATGTCTTAATGAGATTTAAAACTGTCTTCACTTACTTGTACTAGTTTTCTCCGCGTATTTCGGTGTATATTTTCTCATGTTTGTTGTATGTATTTGCTGAAACTACGTCGAGGTCGATTTGTATTGATCACTGACCGTTTATAAGAAACAGAAATCCCATGTGATAACCTTAAAGAAATCAGCTTGATTTACAATTAATGTGATTTTTATAATCCTCTATTATATTTCTTGACCTTAAAGTGGGATTCGACTGTTGGTCATGAGGTTTTGTGTGTCTATCACTGAAAAGCGTACCAAGTACATTAACCATGTACAGGCTCTACTCGAACACTACTGATCCAATCAGAGTTCATAGCGAACTGTTATCCGGTTCAATAACCAAGTGATTGTCCGCTCTCCCTACTCTTGTTTGACCTTGTCCTAAGCATCCTTTTAGATGTACAATTCATCTAGCTTATCAGCAACGGATCTTTCACGAGACTTCCTTACTGGCTTAGAATACACAAATAATATAGTCTTGTTTCTGAAGACGCTAATAAGATGAAGTCTTCTGAACACCTTAAGCAACAATACTACCATGTTTGGAATGTAATTCTCTCCCTGCAAATGCAAAACTTTGCTTTAAGATTGGCTTGTGTCAGTCTCCGAATCAATGATACGGAACTAAGTAGTTAAACACATCGACCGCTTCACTCATCTAAGGAGTCTCATCAGTTCTGATGATCTGGTAGCTGACGAAATCTCAACGCGGATTCAGAAGACTCGACTAGATTTTGTCAACTTGTGGCATCGATGAGATATCCATCTTCCAATCAAAGGATGAGTTTGCTAAACATCAGTTCGCTCCGTTCTGGTTTTATGAGACCTTGAATGACATGGCTCAAAGTCGTTTGCAATGGCGCAGGTGCATCCACTCTTTGTGTTCTCCCAAATTCCAATCTTTATGTCTCTTTCTTTCTCCTCTTTCCAAATTTATTTCACTGGATTATACTTCTTGAATAGCATCTTCATACCCTAATCTTTCCGATCAGTGCTTATACTTTTACTACCCCTACCACTGTGTTAATGTGGTATGGCAACTCGAACTGATGTACGTACGTACGAAGTCCTACGTTGTTGCTTGCTGGCTGACTGCTCTGACTAAAGTATACTAATGAACCTCCTCTTTGTGGTTCATGTGATAACCTTAAATTTTGACTTGAAAAAACATCTACGTAACTCGAAATTCATGTCAACAGCGTAGCATAATTTTTCCCTTTTTTATTTGTTAGACACATTTTCTACTCTTGATTCTCTATTTTCATTTGTTACTTTAACATTTTTCTAGTTATCATTATCATTTCCGTTTTCGCTTGTTAGTTTTTTTTGCTGTATTGACGCGAAGTGTTGCGATTTGTTTCGACACACATTTATGCCAGGTTTCACTTCGATGTGTCACTTTCTTATTTATTTATTTATTTATTTGAACACATGAATATTGGTACAAGAGAGCGCCAATATATATGCGCCACACAAAACAATGAGAATTCGAAGAGAAGTACAAAAAAAAACTAAGGAGCGCAAAAGAAAAAGAGAACAATAACGAAGAGATTGGTGTAAGGTAGTGTGGTAGTAACGAGGGAACGAAAAGGTACAATCAGAAGAAATCTTTCAGGTAAGGGAGACACAACCACTTTTTATGAAGAAAGTAAAAGAAGGTTACAGCAGGATCGCCACTGGCTTCTATTCTGAGCCATATCTGATAACGTCTCTAGCCACTGTGTAGCACCATCTCTCAGACCCCTACCAGGGAGTCGTGAAGGACCGACAGAAGCCAGCCCTTTGCAGCTTTCATACCACGACACCATGTCATGCACTGACCACCTCTCCGCTTCTTCCAACCAGTCCCAGAATCGGCAAATAATGCACGACGTGGAGTTCTCTGGGACGACATTCGTAGAACATGTCCAAGCCACCGAAGTCGGTGTTTCAAGATGGTGACACCAATTGAATTATCATCTCTGTGCCCGAACACACGATGCCGAACCTCTGCATTACTGACATGGTGTTGCCACTGAATGTCAGCAATCCTTCGGAGACAGCGATGATCGAACACAGGGAGTCGTCTAACGTCCTCAACTCGGAGAGACCAGGTTTCACAAGCATAGAGCAGAACTGCTCTCACCGACGCGTTGTAGATCCGACCTTTTACGGCCAGACTAACATCACGAAGGCGCCAAAGGTGGCCCAGATTGGCATAAGCCGCTCTGGCTTTCACTATTCGTGCATTGATCTCACCACTCACACCCCCACCAGCACTTATGCAGCTACCCAGATACACGAACTTCTCGACTACTTCTATCTGTTCACCGTCCAGGGTGAGTACAGGATTGGAATCCTGCCAGTCTTGTAGAAGTACTTTGCACTTCGAAGGTGCAAAGCACATGCCATACCTACGGACACTGATTGCCAACTGATTAAGTGCGGATCGCGTGGGTTGGGCATTATCGCACAGTAAGACAGTATCGTCCGCATACTCAAGGTCGAGAAGTCTTTCTCCAGGCAACAGATCCACACCGCCATTACTTACATTCATCAGAGCTGTTTACAGAATGTCATCGATGGCAAAGTTGAAGAGGAATGGTGAGATTGGGCAATCCTGCCTAACCCCACTGCTCGAATGGAACAATGGAGAGAGGTGGTTGTATGCCTTCACTCTGCCTGAGGTGTTTGTATATAGGGCCTTTGAGATATTAATAAACATCTCAGGCACACCCTTCTTCAATAGACAATCCCAGAGAACAGTCCTGTCCAACGAATCGAAGGCAGCCCTGATGTCAAGAAACACTACGATTGTTGGCCTTTGATAAGTATGGCGGTGTTCTAACATTTGGCGGAGGGTGAAGATATGATCAATACATCCTCGACCAGAACGAAACCCAGCCTGCTCCTTGCGAGTCAATCTTTCTCGGGTTTTGAACAACCTACGAAGTATGACGGAAGCCAATAGCTTGGACGCAATCGGAAGTAGACTTATCCCCCGATAGTTGTTACAGGAACGACGTGAACCCTTTTTAAAGATAGGGACAACTATCGACTCATTCCATGACGTTGGTACACACTCTAGCTCGCAAACCTTTGTAAACAACGTCGTCAATTGCTTAGTCAAAAAGTCACCACCATCTTTAAAAAGAGCCGGAGGTAAGTCATCTGGGCCAGGTGATTTGTAACGCTTCAAGAGTTGGAGTTCCTTGCGGACTTCCTCCTGATTTGGTGGATCAGTCGTCACCGGCCATGGAGGGCAGGACAGTCTGACCGATGTTGCCGGAGCAGCAGGCCAGTTGAACTGCCCTTCGAAAAATTCTGCCCACCGTCCAAGACGTCGATGGATGTTAGTGATTGGCATCCCATCATCCTCGCAGATTGTTTCACTCACACCAGACTTCTTGCTGCCAGTGGCTCGGATGAGCTTCCGGTAGTTACCAGATGCAGCTGCTGCTTCCAGCTCATTAGCACGCTTCGACCACCAGGCTTCTCGGTCCTTACGCAAGCTTTGCCCAATTTCCTTACGTAACATCCTTCGTTTATGGTCAAACTCACGGTCACCCGGAGTAGACCGACGGGCTTCAATGAGTTGTAAGGAACCAGAAGAAACCCAGTGCTTAAAAGCGGGACGTTTCGCAAACCCACGACTGACTGTTCCCGCCATTTTTATGGCGTCATGCAATTGCAACCAATGCTCATCTATACTTTTCGGTGGAGTGGTAGCTAGCCTAGAAACTAGCTCGGTTCGATACTTATTTG